TGCAAGCGTGAGTTGTTATTCTACCTCGGCTCATGTGATGTCTGCTCCTAGAGACTCTCTCTCTCTCTCTCTCTCTCTCTCTCTCTCTCTCTCTCTCATTTTATATTCTGTCTTGGTCTTTCCTGTGCCTGGGAAGCCTTGCGTTAGAGGCGCAAGAAAAGTTTGGGCCAGCCACAAACGTTTGAGCGAGCCAGAAACGTTTGGGCCAGCCACAAACGTTTGAGCGAGCCAGAAACGTTTGAGCGAACTCAACGGAAGTGGACCGGATGTCGAACTTTTTTCTTTTTTTTTCCTCCCTTAAGGCGTGTTAACATTAAATTATGTAAGTTGCTTTTACTTGATTTTACTTATTTTATTTTATTTTTATGTGTTCCTTCAGGGAGACGTTGTCTGCGTGGGTGTTCTTTATGGGTGTGTGTGTGTGTGTGTGTGTGTGTGTGTGTGTGTGTGTGCGTGTGTGTGTGTGTGTGTGTGTGTGTGTGTGTGTGTGTGTGTGTGTGTGTGTGTGTGTGTGTGTGTGTGTGTGTGTGTGTGTGTGTGTGTGTGCGTGTGTGTGTGTGTGTGTGTGTGTGGTGTGTGTGTGTGTGTGTGTGTGTGTGTGTGTGTGTGTGTGTGTGTGTGTGTGTGTGTGTGTGTGTGTGTGTGTGTGTGTGTGTGTGTGTGTGTGTGTGTGTGTGGTGTGTGTGTGTGTGTGTGTGTGTGTGTGTGTGTGTGTTGTGTGTGTGTGTGTGTGTGTGTGTGTGTGTGTGTGTGTGTGTGTGTTTGGGTTTGTTTTGCTTGTTTGTGATTTTGTATTCGCCAAAATGTGCTTGTTAGTGTCCTATTTTCCCCCTTTGACTGTAGCTGAGAGAAGCATCACTGGATGTCGACCAATTGATTGATTCAGCCACCCAAGAGGTGGCACGGGCATGAATAGCCCGTAAGATGTTGACCATTCTTGTCCCATATTATGAACTACTGAAGGGGACGGGGAGTGAGGAGAAAGCGCCAGGCCATTACGACTATATGGCACTTGGAAGGGGTTCAGGATAACGATTTGGGACGGGACGGAGGGTAAGGAATGGTGCCCAAGCACTTGGATGGTTGGGGATTGAACGCCGACCTGCATGAAGTGAGACCGTCGCTCTACCGTCCAGCCCAAGTGATGGCAAGTATTAGGCAAGAAGCCTTCTGCCTCCTTATGCGTGATTCTACCCTAAGGGAATCTCCAGTTATGGGAGTTGCTTTACATATATACTTGTATTAATTACTGCTGTGTGTGTATTTACTATTTGTACCTTCAGGATCGAGCTGTTAGCTCTTGGGCCCCGCCTATCTAACCGTTGGTTGTCTTATGTAATGACTCCCGACCGGATTTTCTCACATATCAGCTACTACATATATTTCTCTCTCTCACACACACACACACACATATCCCCAGGATGCAGCCCGTATCAGCTGTCTAACTCCCAGGTGTTTATTTACTGCTAGGTGAACAGGAGCATCAGGAGAAAGAAGACATGCTCAATTGTTTCTGCCCCCGGTCGGGAATCGTAGGACTTTAAGATTACAATCCCCGAGCGTTGCCCACTTAGCTGCCAGGCCCCTGGACAGTGTAAATGTGTGTATGTACTCACCTAGTTGTGCTTGCGGGGGTTGAGCTCTGGCTCTTTGGTCCCGCCTCTCAACCGTCAATCAACAGGTGTACAGGTTCCTGAGCCTACTGGACTCTATCATATCTACACTTGAAACTGTGTAGGGATCCTGGAGCAAGCATGTCTTAACTAGGAGGCCTGGTCGACGACCGGGCCGCGGGGACGCTAAGCCCCGGAAGCACCTCAAGGTAACCTGAAGGTAACCCTTTGAAGTGTGACTCGTCGTCTGTATGGGCTATAATAGGTCAAACTTCCTAATTAGGCCTAGGCTAAGCTCTTGTTTACACCTGAAAGCAGTAGTAGTCCTACTGTCAACATGCAAACAGCAACGTTCATGGCGGAGAACGTAAGAACAAGACGTGAACGTGTTGACGTGAACGTAATCCTGGTAGACATGTGTGTCTTCCCCTTGGGGGTGATGGGGAGGAGGAAGGGGGGGGGGTCGATGTACGTCTTCTTCTTGAGATGATTTCGGGCCTTTTTTTTAGTGTCCCCGCGGCCCGGTCCTCGACCAGGCCTCCACCCCCAGGAAGCAGCCCGTGACAGCTGGCTAACACCCAGGTACCTATTTACTGCTAGGTAACAAGGTCTTAGGTGTTAGGATCATGGGTTTAGATGAATGTCTTTGTTGTATTGAATCGCTGTTTGTAGTTGTCCTCACTATGGAGATGTTTGCACATACATATGGGTAAATATGGTTACATATGGTTAAATATGGTTACTTACATATGGTTAATACATATGGGTAAATTTTCCTCTGTGATGACAAGAAAGATGCAGGTCCCAGTCACTCCACAGGTCCAGGTCACTCTACAGGGCCAGGTCACTCCACAGGTCCAGGTCACTTCACAGGGCCAGGTCACTCCACAGGGCCAGGTCACTTCACAGGGCCAGGTCACTCCACAGGGCCAGGTCACTCCACAGGTTCCGGTCACTCCACAGGTCCAGGTCACTCCACAGGTTCCGGTCACTCCACAGGTCCAGGTCACTCCACAGGTCCAACTCACTCCACAGGGCCAGGTCACTCCACAGGTCCAGGTCACTCCACAGAACCAGCTCACTCCACAGGTCCAGCACACTCCACAGGCCCAGGTCACTCCACAGGTCCAGGTCACTCCACAGGTCCAGGTCACTCCACAGGTCCAACTCACTCCACAGGGCCAGCTCACTCCACAGGTCCAACTCACTCCACGGGACCAACTAACAGAGACGGCCCTGTTTCTTACGGAATGCGTACTCTAAGCCGTGACTTGGCTGGCCGACTCTCCTCCAAACGGAACCTGTCAGCCTTCACCAAGGTCTTTGAAAAAAAAACTCTTCTCTTGCATGCTTGCTCGGTGTCCGTAAGACCCAAGGACTCTTACAAGATGCCTGCTGCTTCCACTGTGTGACATCAGACCTCACATAAACACCTGAATGTTTGGTTGCTCTGCAGTCTCAAGTAACCATAGAGCCCCTTGCAATTTCCCTGTTTTATGATTTCATAAATACCTAAAAAAAGAAAATAATACAAAAAATCTAATGTTGGTGTTTTCTATGCCTATAATCCCTCGAAGGGTTTGGTGGGTTGGTTGGGTTGGTATGTCTCTGGTTAGGTTAGGTTGGGTTTTTGACGGAGTGGAAAATGAAGAGTTTGGGTAGTTTAGCATGTTGTATATGGGCTGAGAGTACCCATGGCGACACCTGTGTTTCCTCTGTGTATGTGCTTGGTGATAATATATCAAGCTATCACACAAGAGTGCACCTGTGGTGTCAAATAACCAGTAGACATGCGTGTGTGTGTGTGTGTGGAGAGAGAGAGCAGGAGCAAAAGTGTACATCTACCCTTCATGAGGACGCGACAGCGACTGAGGTGTGGGAGTGAGCCTCTTCCTCTTCCCTTTTCCCTCCTCCCTCCCCCTCCTCCCCTCCCCTCCCCTCCCCCAGCTGACCAACGGTTGCCAAGTTGTCAATTTTGTGTTTATGAAGTGTTTTGTATATATTTATTTTGTCTTGTTCCTTCTCTCTCTCTCTCTGAGATGTTTAATGATGTTATTTACTGAGTTATTTTGTCATAATTAATGTACGATTTACATCACTCGCTTGATAGAACTGACGCCATGGGCTTCTGTGTCTGTCTGTCTGTAAAAGAGTTTGTTTTCCTACGTTGTTTGTGATAGATAATGTGCAGTCTAATTCCTTCCTTCCCCCCCCCCAACCCCAACCCACCTCTCCTGCCACCCACCACCACCCACAGAACACTGACCACCCACACGGAATCCCCAATCTCCCCCCCCCCCAGCAACCCCCACTCCCCAATCGGCCACCCACCCGACCTGCTCTCGGCTCAGCTCTTCGTTTAAGTATTTCAGTAATTTGATCTATTTGTCATTTGATAGTGCGATAGACATGGCTTGGGTGGCAATGAGGGAGGGTGGAGGGGGTGTGGTGTGATGGGGGGTGGTGTCTAGAGGTTAGACCAGTGGTGTAGCCAATGTTGTTGTTGTATTGGGGGGGGGGGCTGTTGTTGTGGGCTGTGATGGAGAATGTCTCTCTCTCTCTCTCTCTCTCTCTCTCTCTCTCTCTCTCTCTCTCTCTCTCTCTCTCTCTCTCTCTCTCTCTCTCTCTCTCTCTCTCTCTCTCTCTCTCTCTCTCTCTCTCCCCCTCTTTGGTATTTATCCCCTCTCTAAGATATCTCTCTCCTCTAAGCTATCTTTTCCCGTAAAGTATCTTCTTCCCCTCCTTGGGTATCTATGCGTCCCCTCCCCTCCCGTCCCCTCCCCCTCAGGTATCAATCTATCTCTTCCCCCCAGGTATCTATCTATCTTCCTCCAGGTATCTATCTCCCCCCCCCCGGTATCTATCTATCCCCAGGTATCAATCTAACTCCCCCCCCAGGTATCTATCTATCCCCCCAGGTATCTATCTAACCCCCCAGGTATCTATCTAACTCCCCCCCCAGGTATCTGTCTGTCTCTCTCCAGGTATCTGTCTGTCTCTCCCCAGGTATCTATCTATCTCCCCCCAGGTATCTACCCATCTCCCCCCCCAGGTATCTATCTACCTCCCCCCAGGTATCTATCCATCTCCCCCCCAGGTATCTAACTCCCCCCCTCAGGTATCTATCTAACTCCCCCCCCAGGTATCTATCTATCCCCCCTCCCAGGTATCTATCTATCCCCCCTCCCAGGTATCTATCTATCCCCCCCAGGTATCTGTCTTCCCCTCCCCCCCCCTCATTCGCACGTGTCTGGGATGGGGGAGAGGGAGGGAGTGGGGGGCGTCTGGGTACTGGGGGAGGCAGAGGGAGGGAGAGGGAGAGTCACCAGCCATAATGACGGCGGGGCTGCCATGGGTGCTTCCCTGGATCAGTAGACTCTGGGCGTCGGAGGAGAGTGCATACACACGTGCCCCGCTCTCTCTCTCCTCTCCTCCTCTCTCCTCTCGCTCGCTGCGCTCTCCCAATATTCTCTCACTCTCTCTCTCTCTTGTGTCTAGTCGTCTCAAGGCTTTGGAGAAATACCACAGTGCATTGGAAAAATATATATATATATATACTTGTTCTCCCGACTGGTGCTTCGCTTTTGTGGAGTTCATATATATTTGAAATTTTAGTGGGAAAAGTGACTTGTGTGAATTTTTTGACTTGGAAAAATCTTGTGTCGCCTGGATAAATCTCCCATGATAATATTTTCATATATCATCTAATAGTATGTAAGTATATACAGTGATTTTTGTTTATATCATGCAGGATATATATATATATATATATATATATATATATATATATATATATATATATATATATATATATATATATATATATATATATATATAAATTCTTCGTGTATTGTGTGCTATCAGGGAAAAATAAAGTGATGAAAGTTATATTGATGAATAACAGCAAAGGAAACTAAAAAAAATAACTTCAGTGTAAAACACTTCTGCTTCACTTGTTCAATTGTTTCTCAAGTTCATGTTAAAATGTTCACGAAAACTCTCAAGCTTCTTTTTTTTTTAAATTGATTTTGAAGGAAATGAAACGTCTGTGAACATGAAATATAATCTATTGAACACTTATATAAATTGGTGCGACTGTAATAAGTATTCGTCTTCAAGAAAACCATTATCAATATATTATATATATATATATATATATATATATATATATATATATATATATATATATATATATATATATATATATATATATATATATATATATTGTAATGTGATCCAATTTATTTTAAAATAAAAAGGGTTCACTAACTTTTTTCATGACTGATTTGTTTAAAAATTAAATGAAGACTGTTATGTATCTTTTATACGTAAATCAGTGCATTATATATATATATATATATATATATATATATATATATATATATATATATATATATGTATATATATATATATATATATATATATATATATATATATATATATATATATATATATACAAAATACACCAGCAAATTAAAATAAAAATCATCAAAATAAGTAATTTAGTTAAAACAAATCTTTCAATAATCAAACATATTTCAAACATTATATCTAAAGAAACGACATATTACCAAAAAGTGTGTTGATTAAATCCTGTACAATTACAATATCTTACGCATTCAAATAATCCCGTTTTACCTGAAACATAAATCCTGACTTCAGAGTTCTGTAACTTATAAATACATTCCTCGAATGCTATTCAAGAGTCGAAGAGAAATGTGTCAAATTTCTTATACATTAAGCAGGCGATGTATAAGGTTGATGTATCTAAACTCAACTGTGAACTTGGTTATATATGAATTTATATTTAGAGAGAGCGTGTTTATATCACGTGGGTTATATATATATTTTTGGGGGGAGATATATACAAGAGTTGATACATTCTTGTACATATATATATATATTGATTACATATATATATCTTGTACATATATATTGATTACATATATATATCTTGTACATATATATATATATATATTGATTAGCTGGAGGGACATGGGAGAGCAATAGAGGCTGTGGAAGGAAGTTGTACAAGAATGTAAGATGTCTTGTATAAACCCCGGTGAAAATACCCGGCTTGCAGACGATGCACAGTCGCTAAAATAGTCTCAGTTGGTGTCTGGTGGTGGTGGGGTGTGGACGCGACCCTCTCCCCTCATCCTCTTGCCATGTTTGTTAAGTTTGCCCTAGTTTATCTTGTTGTCTTGCGCCTAATTGTTGTTCCGTTTGGCTGTGCGAGGATTGGACGAGTGCCGGACATCAATTAACTTTAACTAGACGAAACGTTACGTTTAAGACATCGACCATTGAGGAAATGCGAACGACTTACACAATGCTAGCGATGGTTTCAACGGGTAAGCTATATTGCTCTCTCTCGTCATTTGGGAGCTAATATTGAGAAAAAGAGCTAATCTAAATGCCAATATCTGTCAGTGTTGTATATTTTTAACCAGCGTCTGACCGCCTACACGAGGCGTGGTTATTTCCTTTGGAGGAATTAGAGCACTCTAGTGAATTAGAGCACTCTAGTGAATTAGAGCACTCTAGTGAATTAGAGCACTCTAGTGAATTAGAGCAGCGTTTTCCCAGGTCGATATTGCTAATTACAATGGTGTCAAATGGTGCCTGTTGATAGGTAATGTCAGGTTGATACCTGCCTGTATTTGTGTGTTTGTGTGTGGTTTTCGCGTTATTTATTCGGTTCTTCTCCACGGCCTTGACAGATGAGTGGCAAGAGGAGTCGGTCGTTCAAATGTGCTGTTCACCAGAAGGATCGCCAGGTCACCTCTGAGACCGACTTCCATCTCCTCCTTCACGAACCTCCTATCTTTAACAAGTAAGTAACTTAATCTGTCCACTAAGGTTGGCTTTGGTGCTCGGTCTAGCCCTAGTACGATACCGGTGTGCTCAAAACAGCTGATTTTTGTTTACCAATATTGGTTGAACTGGAATTAATAATAGATGCATGGAAGTCACATGTTGTTACTTAATTTAGCCTGAAGAGGCTAGTAGCATGGTGCGGCAGAAGTCAGGTTTAGGTGTACGTGTGTGCATATTAAAACATACTGATGCTATGATAGTTACATTCGGTCGTTAATTCTGCATCGCTACCATCCCACAGCAATTCTAAGTGTCACGCAATCTATCGTTGGCACTAAAACATGCAACCTAGGTCTTCCTCAGGCCTGCCAACCCACGTCGATCAATTCTCCGTCAAACTCGCTATCGGTGTATGCAATCTACTCCTCTACTTCCATGACAGTTGACTTGCTCAGTCCCTCGTCAATCATGTTGCTGGCTATCCCGTAATTTGCGCCTCTTAATTCCAATTTCAAACTCGACAATCATTTGACACTTTGTGCTTTCACGTTGGCACTCCTGGAATGCCTGGCTCTGGGCTGCCTTGTAAGGTTTGGCACTGTTAGTGGTTGACTCAGGGGCGAGGCAGAAACATGTGTGACTGTTAGTGTTAGCTGGGGCCCGATATGCCCTTTCTCTTGCTCTGCTTCCTTTTGAGAAGGTGCGAGAAGAGTGCCACTGCCAGCTTAAGACGGTGTCAGAGATGCTTGCGGTGGGTGCCACTCTTAGTAGCCTAGCTCGCTTGATAGCCTAGCTTCGCTCGGTAGCCTAGCTGGGCTTGGTAGCCTGGGTTTGCTAGGCAGGCTGGGTTTGCTAGGTAGCCTAGCATCGCTCGGTAGCCTAGCTCGCTTGCTACCCTGGCTTTGCTAGGCAGGCTGGGTTTGCTAGGTAGCCTAGCTTAGCTCGGTAGCCTAGCTGGCTTGCTAGCCTGGCTTTGCTAGGCAGGCTGGGTTTGCTAGGTAGCCTAGCATCGCTCGGTAGCCTAGCATCCGCTGATTATTTTAAAACTTGATAGCGTGCCAGTTTTATTATTAATCATTAGATATATTACCGAGTTTGTTGTGGCTGTTAAAATTTTTATTTCCTAGTAAACTTGGTAAATAAACTTGGCAGACTATAATTTTAAGTTTCCTATTATTTAGTACTCAGCTTATTAGTACTGTAGTTTGAACAGTACTAATTCAATTAAATACCAAACATTTAGTACTTTCTCACCCACTGTTTAAATTGATAGTTAAATGGTAATAGTTTGTGTAGGTCTATCTGGTGTTTATATACGATTTGTGGTAATGCTTAATATGTTGACCGACCCATAATTTGTTTCTTTGCCAGAATGGTTCGCCTCATAGCGGACGAGTTCTTGACGGAGGAGCGGGACCGTAAATACTATGCCGACCACTATAGGTGCTGGCCGCCGCCTCTCTTCGTTATCGCTGTCACCCTTGTACAGGTAGGTCACCCTTGTACAGGTAGGTCTCGCCGGATCACCTGAAGGTCCTCGCTGGAGTGTCAGCAGACGTACATCAGTATTCCTTCATAGTGTTATTCCGGAGAGATCATGCAAGGTTATGTTTGTAATGGGTGATTCAACGTTATTTGTACGGGACCCCATAGGGTTTAGGTAGGTAATGAACGTATAGGTCATTGGGTTAGGGGGCCGTGTATCACTGGTCAAGAGGGGCCAGTCTGTTCTGGGAGCGGGTTATATGTTGCGCTTGTCAGGTCATGGTTATTTGAGCCGTGGAGATCTTGGGGTCAGTCGAGCCCCTGCTAACAACACTATTAATCACGGCCAATATCAGGTGGTAGGTGATGTCACCCTGAGTGTGTGGTGGAGGTGTCACCTTGCTGTGGAACTGTTGGGTCCGCCCTGTGGCGTCTGTGTGACAGAGATGTCTTGTGATGGCTATTAATACCTCTGTCCTACCTTGCTCACCTATACCCTATTGCTTTGTCAGTTCTCTATCAGGTTCTTTGCTCATCCCTGCATTATCCAGCTTTCCCTATCCCTCTGATCCGTGTGTGTATGTGTGTGTGTGCCTGAGGGTCATTGCCACACGGGAGACGACATTTTGAGAGCCAGTGATTGTAGAAATGTGACCCTGACCTTTACTTAGTCCGTACTGTTCGCTGGATTTTTTTTATGAATGCTGCGAGATTTCAGAATAGTTTGCTGACAGTAAAATATTTTATACACACACTCTGCAATTGATGTTGGTAGACATGTCAGATTTCTTGACTAGCATGTAACAATGTTGATAACATTGTAAAAATTATAATTTATAAAACACGAATCTAGAAACCAACATTGATATAGCAACTTTCACATTTTTACAATGTGTGTGTTTAACTTATGAATGTTAGGACATGTGAAGTAGGGAGGAACCTTCTTCAAGTTCAAGTATGTTTACTGAGACAATAAAAAATACATCTCAAAGGGATAGAGTAGCTTAGGCTATTTCTACTCCCCCCCCCCCTTGAACCTTCTTCAAGAGCCTGAGAAGTCCTATTGATCGTAACGGCGGCCAAATACCAGGCTAGGCGGCCCCGTTGCCTGGATACCGAATGTCAACAAACTGGCAGCCTCATTAACCCGGGTGGGGGGTTCGAATCCGATTACCACGTGCCCATCACAATGGGTTTTTATACTATCAATGTGGGATAGATTGTTTCAGTAATCACTGTGTTCGGGTATTATGTTAGGGTGATTGTATCTTGTATTGGACGTGTTCAGGGTGATTGTATCTTGTATTGGACGTGTGTTCAGGGTGATTGTATCTTGTATTGGACGTGTGTTCTGATCCTATATTTCTGAAAGGGAATCGTTGGGAATTGATTGTGCTTATCCTGTTCTTGTTAGTATTGATTCAAAACGTTTTTGAGTAAATGCTGTACACATGTACATACATATTGTCCGTCTGTGTCTAGAGAGAGTAATTTGGGTGGCTTATTAACCTTGAATAACTTGTAACTTTCGTGGTTTTTTGTTCAGATTCCATTGTTCTCTCTCTTTCCTAGACCTGAGACATGTGTTCGTTCTCGTATATTCCCCTGTTCGTTATATTTTACCTGTTCTTTTTGCCCCTTAACATTGTTAAGCCTTAAGTTTGTTTTATTCACTATTCCTTTATCTCTTAGTGACTGTGTGTGCATCTCACATCAGCCACTACATCTCGGTTGAACCTGATTTATCATATCTTTGATTGTCTGGCTTTCACGTTCTATTTCTGTTAGAGCATTCTAGTGGTACGATTAGTTTCATGTAATTCCCCTTTTCTTCACGTTAGTCTCCTTTCTGTGATCCATTAGACTCTGGCTCCCAATGCATTTGCGCGAGTACCTGCCTGGGTGCACTTACTTTGGAGTGTTTAAAGAGAGATAAGTTGCAGCTCCTGGATCTGACTTCTCAGTCGCTGGATTTTTGTTTTGATCGCTCCATGACACTATAAGTCTAGTTATAGTCTCCACCTATCTCAGTCGACGTCCTCGTTGGCAAAGCTCTTGGCTTTCTTGAGATTTGCGGGACCGTAAGACTGTTTCCAAGCTCTTGCTGTACGTCACATGGTTGGAATAACACAAGTGATGTGTGTGTGTGTGAGACGTGTTACTAGTCAATTTCGCAAAGACAATCCTTGTTTGCTATCCTAGTGTATGCTTCTTGATGTTATCCAGTTTGTACGCTTCGGGAGGTAGACCTTGTGTGATGCTAACGCTTGTCCTTCTCTGACAGTTCCTCTCCCATCTGCAGTCCTTCTCTGATGATTCACCTTCAAGTGAAGCATTTCTCTGATGTATTCCTCACTTTTGGGTTGGGCTCGTACCCATTCTCTTTCACGGCCATTCAGTTCCATTAATTTGCACGCTGGGTTAGATTCTAGTAGCCACGAGTCTTGAGGTGTTGTGTATGTGTGTTTGTGTTTGTTTTCCGTGTAGGCGCACCTTCCCGTCCTAGTCGTGATAGAGGGGATCCAAATATTTACATTTGTGCTGCCCCCCCATCACTTGGCGAACCACGACCACCAACAAGGTGGCGGACTACCCACTCACACACCTGCCTACCTGTGCTGGTTTACGTCTTAGGTTTACCGTATTCTGGTCGATAAACATAATGGAGACTTGGAAACTGTTGCGGGCGATGAGTCACAATAACGTGGCTAAAGTAATTTAAAGACAATCGACTTGAGAATGGTCCAGGTCGGACCGAAACGTCGTCGTCCCTTCATCTTCTAGTGTGTGGTCTGGTCAATCTTAGAAACTGTTCTTTGGTGGTTTGGGTGTTGGAAATTGGCTTCCCTATACCCTGGTATGCGGGGGCGTATAGTACATGTTGTTTCCTGGACATCCACTCACTTGTCCGTTTTAAGAAGGGTTGATCTCGTGAACAGGATTAAATCCTAAGGATTGAACACCACTTTAAGACTGTAAGTGTTCTACCCGTTGCCACTCTGGTGGAACTTTTCGTTCGGGTGGTGTGGAGATGGAAGCACTTACCCTCGGCCAGCGTGTTGACACTTCCAAGCTGCAAATCCTTGACACTTACCAATTCACTTGAAATTAAACTTGGGTTTTTGATAATACTCGTAAGCTCATTCTCTCGTACTCGTTGTTTAGATTAACCGGAAGACACGACGCCTGTTTTATCAAATGATGCCAAGGGAGGTTAGACCAGTTAATCATCCTGAACCCAATGAGTGTAATTTGACTTGTCACATCTGACTTAATGAGGGCAGTAAGATTGTTTCGGTTACAGTGTAACCTACGGGATGGCAAGACGGAAGGGTAGTTACAATAGTCATAAAGCAACGGTTCCAAAGGGTAGTTTAGTGGGGGGGGAGGGGAGGGGGGGAGTAATGGAGCAGCTTAGGGGCGGGGGTTGGGGGAGGGGGTGATGGCGCGTTCTGTAGCTACCCAATATGAGTAGAAGCCTCGCAAAAGTCTCCCTCACCTGACTTGATCCTCTCTCTCCTCCCCTCTCACTCTGTCCCTTCGTTCTCTCGCACCCCCTCCCCCCCTTCCCTCCCTTCGTTCTCCCTCACCCCCCCCCTCCCTCTCGCTGGGGTGCTTAGGCTTCAGTTTTGTGTCCAGTTTTATCTTAATAAACATGTCTTCTCTCTCTGTTCTAGCATGCTTACCGCAAGCATTTTTTTTCCCGCATGTTGTTTAAGCTTTAGCAAATGTCGCCTATAATATAGAGATGTATAATATAACTGATGTATATTAATGAATTAGTAATGGAGTGGGTGATTATGGGAGGGATTTGGAGGGGGGGGGGTCATTAAGCCCCGTACCCGGCCACCCCCAATCCTTTTTTTTTTTTTTTTTTTTTTTGGGGGGGGGGTGATAACGCTATCCCTATTTCCCTGCTCCCCCCCTCTCCCTCCCTCGTTAACGTTCAGCCCAATTCGTGTGCCTTGGATAATGACTCCCGTTGTTTTAGATTTAGCTACTCAGAACGAAATGTCCATGTAGCACGGGCTATGGTGAGCCCGTAATTGAGTTCGGTTATTCGCGATAACGTTGTTACGCAGATATTTGGGTCAAAGTTTTAAATGGAGGTGGGGTTTCCTTCCTTTTTTTCCCCTGTTTCTTTTTAGCTTCTGTTTTAGTCGTGTTTTATAATGGCTCTCCAACATTGATGAAGATTAAGCCACCCAAGAGGTGGCACGGGCATGAATAACCCGTAAGGCTCTCCAAGACTAGTCTTTACTTATCAGTGTGTATGGGAGTGAGGTGTAGCAACATTATGCCCGCTTACTGGCCTTGTACCTGCTGCTTTTCAACCTAATTACTCGACTTTCAAATTCTTTGTCCCAATCGGGCCTTAAGTCTTGGATGGAGGTGGCTTCTACAACCTCATTTGGTCGAGCATTCCACTTGTTAACTACCCGTTCATGGTACGAGTACTTTATAATGTCCCTTCGGCTCATTTGTGCTTCCAGCTGTTTTCTTGTCCTGCCTTCTCTGTCTGAAGAGGCTATCCTTATCCATTTGATCTATTCCTCCCCCCTTTAGTATCTTGTAAGTTGTGATCATATCCCCTCTGTTGGTGTTTGTGCTGGTACTCCCTAGCACAACTCTCGTCTGATCTCGTTTTCCTGCATCGTAAATATGACTCTTCCCTCCTCCTTACTTCATCACTCCCATTCTCTCTATTGTCAATTCAGCTTCCTCCATCAGCGACCTCATTACCCCTGCTGTGGTCCCACTCCGTCCTCCCCTTCCCCCTTCCCACTCCGTCCCCCCTACATCCTTCCCACTCCGTCCTCCCCTTCCCCCTTCCCACTCCGCTGCCTATTTGTCCGTAATAAGCTTTGGGAAGGAGGTCAGGGAAGGTAACTTGGCCCTCATCACTAGCCTTCCCGTTTCCTGCACGCCTGCCTTCCTGTAGTATATCCGCTCCCATCGTCCCAATCCTGGCAGTTACAGCCCCGCTCCTGTGCCAGGCAAGTC